TTTATAATTGAAAAATTTTAAATAAATTTTTTGTTACAAACATTTATAAATATATTTAGTCAATTGTATATTTATTTAAAAATTAAAAATAAAATTCAGGAAAATCAAATTATTTGCAATGATGGCTTATGATGAACCAAGCAGATTTATGGTTTTTGAGTCCTCCAATTTTTGATTTGTGGTCTTTAACAATAAGCTCTGATGTTTGCAAACTTAATAAATTTATTAACTAAAGTAGATGTTTATATTACTAGGTACTTCAATTTAAACGTACTATAAACTCATAAAAGAAAAACAAATATATATGATATATATATATATATATATTCTCTTTACCAAGCTACTTTCTCCTGAGTATCTTTCCATGGTGTCCTTTATGGGTGGGAATAGGTTTTTTAGTCGAGTTGGAAGAAAGAGGAGGTTTGATGATCATCGAGTATAGCTGCTTCTTAGGGCTTTGATATGGAGGATTCGAATGGTTAATAGTATCATGTCTGAAGAGGTTTCTACATAGTCTACTCGATCATCTCTGGCTTTGCTTTCTTCTTCCATTTACACATTACTGTTGACGGTCTTCCATTTCTCTCCTTGTCTCATAATAAGGTTGGTTCATTCTCCATACTCCTTGTTAGGAAAGGTGGTTATCGTGGTTCCTAGTCCTTGCTTCTTATAGGTTCTGAAGGCTCCTCAGTAGGTGCGAGCGCTGCATGTCTCTGTATTGGGCTGCTGGGCTTCAATAATCAATGGGCCTTTTCTTCCTTTTTTTTTCCCTAAGACTACTTACCATTTCAACCAATATCGGCTTGGCGTTTTTTTTTTTTTGGTGACAAGAGAGGCAAACGCCTAGACAAGTTACAACTTCAAGAATACACTTGGCGGTATACGCCATGACCACAACGATCGTTTTGCAACGCCTCCTTGACTTCATCCGGTGGTTTGACCCATATGGACTTTATGTCATCCTGTTTCCAGCTTAGGTTCGCTAGAATGTCTGCGCTCCGATTTCCTTCTCTCTGGATATACATGAATCTTACTTCCCAGTCACGAGCAGTGAGCTCCTCTATCTTTCTTGAGATTAAGTAGCATCCTGGAATTTTCCCTTTTATGGTGAGTTCCGAGATTAAAGTAGCATCATCACTTTCAACTTCTATTTTCTTGAACCCCAGCTCCCAAAAAGTTGCATGCCTTCCCATATCCCCCACGCTTCGGCTTCTCTTGCAGTTCCAACATTAAGTTTACTCGAGAAGCCTCGGATCCACTCTCCTTCATCTCCTCTAATAAGCCCTCCACATCCTGCCTCGCCCCTTCTTTTCATCGTGCCATCCGTATTCACCTTACACCAGCCCTCCCTAGGTAGTTTCCAGCTTATGAAGCACATTTCTCCATCTCCTTGCTGCATGGGTTCATCGTTCCATCTCCTCATATAACTAGCATGGTATTGTTTGATGACGAAAGCGGCATTTTTTGGTACTTCCTCCTCATGTTCATGGATTCTTAGATTTCTCCATCGCCAAATAGACCAGCAGCTGATTGCAAAAAGTTCAGGCCAGAATGTACATTCTTTCCTTCTGGCTTTGTTATTCAGATTCTTTTCTAGCCAGTTTCTCCAGTTCGCTTTGAAGAACCCCTCTTCCTCATCCCTTTGCACAAGTCTTTTCCAGATTTGCTTTGCCCATGTACAGTCTCTCAAGGCGTGTAGGCCATCTTCTTCACAATAGTTGCAGAGCTGACATAGCCCGGAGCTACCATCCCATTTTTTCATTAGGTTGCCTGTTAATAACCTGTTGTGTCCTGCTATCCATATGAACGCTCTGACTCTTTCTGGTACCTGTAGCTTCCACACCGTCTTCCAAAACTGGCTTCCCGTTCCATTCTGACATCCTAAAAGCCACTTATAAGCGCTTTTAGTAGAGAATTGTCCATCCCCCGTCAGCATCCATTTCAGCCTGTCTTCCTCACCATCTCTGCAATATGGTGGTATAGTTCGTGTTATTCTGTCCAGAGTGTCTCTTGGTAACCATTGTTCAATCTCAGCAGTTCTCCACACCCCATTTTCATCTATAAGGTCTTTAACTCTTAGGTTCTTATTCACATTCGCTTCTATTGGTAGATACGAGCTTAGTGTCTGTTCTCCATGGACCCATCTATCTGACCAAACAAAGGTGTTATGACCATTCCTAACCTCTTTCATTATCAGTTTCTGATAGGTGTCAGCCATCTTTGTTAGTTCTCTCCACAATCTAGAATCATAATTCTTTGCTATTTTGACCTCTTGATTTTCCCCCCTTTCTCCATATTTTGCTTGAAGCACTTGGACCCACAGCTCATTCGGAGAAGTATCAATTTTCCATAGTAGCTTCAGAAGAAACGCTTCATTCATACACTCTAAAGACTTGATGTCTGCTCCCCCACACCCTTTCGGTCTACAAATGGTCTTCCAAGACACTGGGTGTCTTTTCCTTGTCTCCCCCTGTTCTCCCCATATGAACTTTCTTTGTTCTTGCTCCATCGATTTAATTGTGCCCTGTGGAAGCCTGTCATGCTGCATAGGGTAGAGAGCCATAGATCCTGTAACCGTTTTCACAAGTGTCATTCTACCGGCTAGTGATAGACTTTCTGCCTTCCAACCGTTTAGCCTTTTCTTCAATTTGTCCATGACGGTGCTGTATTTTCTACTTCTTTTCCTGTAATGCACAATTTCAGCTCCCAGATATCTTCCTAGATCGTCCACTTGCTTGAATTTGCATCTTCCACATATATTTCTCTTGGTTTCCGCTTTTACATTTGGGGAGAAATATATTTGGGTTTTGTCGCTGCTCACTTTATGTCCTGAGCTCCTGCTGAAATCCTGCAAGCAATTCAAAATAAGATCAATCTGGTTAGTATTAGCCTCGGCAAAGAGCACGAGGTCATCGGCGAACATCATATGTGAAATTGTTGGTCCATTTCTTCCTGCTCTCACTCCTCTCCACTGTTTCTCTCTCACTCTATCTAATATGATGTGTGTGAGCTTTTCCATTCCAAGCACAAAGAGATAAGGAGAGATTGGATCTCCTTGTCGCAGACCCCTAGAAGGGAAGAATTGTTCAAGCTTTTCACCATGCCATAGGATCTTGATGGAAGTCGATGTTACACACTGCATTACTCTTCTTCTCATTGTATCCGGGCATTTGACTTCTTTTAACACCTTGTCTAAAAACTTCCAGCTCATTCTATCATAAGCTTTCTCTAGATCCACTTTTATTGCCATATAGCCCTTCTTACCTCTTTTCCTTCTCATGGTATGAATCATTTCCTCCACTACTATAATGTTGTCATGTATATTCCTTCCTGGAACAAAACTTGCTTGGAAGGGGGACACAATCTTGTCCAGAATGCTCTTTAAACGCTGCACCAAGATTTTTGATAAACATTTATATCCCACATTACATAACGAGATAGGCCTGAATTGGTGAACTCCTACCGGGTTGTCCACCTTGGGTATTAAAGTCAAAAGGGTCTGGTTCACATCCCCTATTCTTTCTGGTTCCTCCCAAAGTTTCTTTATGCTGTTGTAAACACTTTCTCCAACTACTTCCCAATTCTTTTGGAAGAAAACTGCTGGGTAGCCATCTTCTCCTGGAGCTTTGAATCCTCCAATTGAAAATATTGCACTCCTTATTTCTTCTCTTGTAACCTCTCCACTTAAATCTTCCCAGACTTCTTCATTAATCTCTGGCCATTGGTGGACTGGTTGAGTCCATTGCCTTTCTTCATCCTCCTCATGGAATAAATTTTTGAAGAATTCCATGATCAATTTTCCGACATTCTCTTTTCCTTCAACCCACTTGTTGTCTCCATCCTTTAGAGTTGATACTCGATTCTTCCTTCTCCGGATGGAAGTTTTCGTGTGATAGAATCTTGTGTTGCGATCCCCATCCTGTAACCATTTGGTCCTTGCTTTTTGAAACCACAAGATCTCTTCCCTCTCCTGTATTTCGAGCAGTTCTTTCTTCAATTTCCTTTCCAAATCTTCCAAATAAAGGTTAGTTTTATCTTGATTATGATTCTGGATCCCAGCAATTCTTCCCACCAGCTCATTTTTTTTCCTTGCTATATGACCAAAGGTGTTGCTATTCCACTCCTGTAGTCTTGGTGTCAGGTCATTTAATTCCACATTCAACTCTTTTACCCCTGTCCAATTTTCTTTCAGCATTTCTCTGAACTGGTTATGAAGTAACCAGGCTGCTTCAAACCGGAAAGGACGCGCAGTTATATTACCCCTTGTATTGTTCAAGCATATGCATAGTGGGTGATGATCAGAGTTTATCCTTGGTCCAACTTTCACGAATGCCTCATGGAACAGATTTCTCCAGTTTGCATTGCAGAGAGCTCTATCTAGCTTCTTGTACATTCGGCTTGCATTTTGGATGATAGGCCCTCTCTAAGTGTATTTAGGTCCTTCTGAGCCCATATCTATCAGCTTGCACTCATCCATATTATCTTTAAATCTTCTGCATTTACTCTCCCTAACAGGTATTCCTCCTCTCTATTCAGACGGGTGCTTAATGTCATTGAAGTCTCCAGCAAGGAGCCAGGGAGAGTTCATCGTACTAGAGATTCTCTTGAGTTCTACCCAGAGTTCTTTCCTTTCCGGTTCTCTTAGGCTAGCATAGATTGCAGTGAAGCACCAACATCTAATGCCAATTCCAGAAATTTTTCCGTGAAGGTACTGTCTATGTCTCTCTAACACCTTAAATTGGATGTTGTCATTATTCCAGAGGACCCAGATGCCCCCCGACATTCCCACTGCCGGCACTACTTCCTGGTATTTAAATCCCAGTCTTTTAAGAACTCTCTGTGCTGAGTCACCATTGCACCTTGGTTCAACAAGGACTACTATCTCAGGTTTAAATTTCCTCTCCATTTCCTTCAAAGCATAACCGAATTCTCTTCCGGCTGCTCCTCTTGCATTCCAGACTAAAATCATAATGACAATCAGAAAAGGATTACGACCACACTTACTGATCACGTGAATCACCATCGCTATCTATAGCGATCTCACTCTTCTGCTTCTCATCTCCACCGTTCTCCTTTACTCCTAGCATGTCCCGTTCCACATCTGATAGCCCCAAAGGCTCATAATTTTCTAATGGGTCGGGTGGTTTGGGCTGGTCCACTTCCATTGTTTCTTCCACTTCCTCTGGTAGACTTTCCAAGGAGTGTTCCACGGTATTTTCATCCATCTCTGTGTCTAGTGCCTTTCCTGTTGTATTGGGTTGTGTCTTGGGCTTTCTTTTTTGCTCGACCACATTTTGGGCTTTTGCTTCCTTATTGGTCTCATTTTTTGCTCCCTTTAGTTTTTCCCCATTCTGACTCCTTTGAGATCCCCCTTTCACACTCTTTGAGGCCTCCGTGTCCTTCTCCTTGTCTCTCTTTTCATTTTCCTCCTTTTCCCTCCCTTGTACTTCCTCTTTCTTTTTTGTCTCATTTGATTTTCTCTCCCTTAACTCTGCTCCTTTTTTCTGATTCTCTTTCTTCTGCTTTGCTCCCCCTGTGTATTTCCTAGGTGCCCCCATGTCAGATCCTCGACTTGCTTCTTTTTCGGTTTGGTTGGAAAGGTCTTTCAGTGGCATCCGGGTTTCCTCCTCAGATCTCTCTCTACCTTCTCTTCCCTCTTCCATCTCGAGCACTGAGAATCTAGAGTCAGCGCCTATTCTACTTGCCGCCCTGTATCCTCTCCTCTGCTCTTCTTCTGCTCTGTTTTCTTTTGTGACAGGCCGTCGTCCTCTTTTTGGTCTTTGTGCCACCATCCATTCCCCATACACACTCGCCGGATTGTTGACCGGAGTTTTGGTGTGTTCTTCAGCATTTTTCTCTTCTTCAGGATTCCTGCGTGTGTTATTCCGTGCTTCCTCCTAGTTTATCCTAGATGGACAGTGTGTCGAATCATGGCCGAACTTTCCGCAGACAAAGCAGATCATATGGAGTCCTTCATACTCTATCTTCAATCTGTTTCCGTCCACTGTATACGCTGGAAGAAGTGGAGCATTCAGGTCAATTTCTACACACATTCTGGCATACATTCTTCGAGCTCTTAGGTAGGTCATTTCATCAACCTTGATCGCTTTCCCTATTTTATTCCCCAGGTGGAAGAAAAATTTCTTGTCATAATAGTCTCCAGGAAGCCGAACCCATACAGTCACCCTTTGAATCTTTTCATTCCAGGGGTTGAAGTTAGGTTTCCATGTTTGAACTGTCAGGTAGTGATTTTGGATCAGCCATGGCCCGCCCTCAATCGCGAAGTAATAATCATCTATGTTTTGGAAGGTAGCTATCATATACCCGTTACCGATATCTGAGAGATCTACATTCCCACCTTTTCCCCACATGGTTTGGATATGTCTCCTCATCCGCATAAAACCCATCGTACCTCCCAACAACTTGATGATAAGGGAAAATTCCCATCTTTTAGCAAGTCTCCTCCTTTCTTCTTCAGAGAATTCGATTATTGGTCCTGCTACTGAGTCTTTGACAGATACACCCTTGAATAATTCCTGTTCATTGTTTAACAGTAGGTTGCCATCCCAAATCTCCTCCTGTTGTTCCTTTCTCTGTGACCCTTCTCTGTCGTCATTCCTTGGCTTCAGGACTTCTCTGTAAGACAGGATTGTTTCTTGTACCGGCACTTCAACACATTCTTCAGTGTTCATCCAGTCTTCGTCTCTCGGTGTAATCGAAATATTTCCTGTGAATTCTCCTTCTTTCCGTTGCAACTTTCCTCTCAGCATTTCATCACTTTGTGTTATGCGCAGGTTCCCTACTTCAGCTGTCTGTTGTTGAGGAGTAACCATCTCCCTAATCTCATTCGTGCTCTGTTCGCGTTTACTACCTCCCTTCACTTCCTCTGTTCCGTCCATCGGACGGTCAGGTGGTTGTTTCGGGGGGTTGTCGTCAATTGTTGTCATGGGAAGGAAAAGCTCACACGTTCTCTCTCTAACTTTCTCTCTCTTTAGTACCTACGTTTTTTACTCAAGCTATTAGTATCGGCTTGGCGTTTTTTATTTCCCAGTATCTTGCAATAGTCTTGAAATGCTATGTCGCTTAACACCCAATATGCAACTTGGGTCATATGTTTCAGTAGAAGTAACTTTCTAATTAAAAAGACAACAGGGTACAAGTTAAGCCACCCTCACTATCCTTACACACCGCGATGGGCCCATGGCCAGATTCAATCATTTCTTATGGAAGTGAATTTCATGAGGAAGTGAGGTCCACACGACCGGATACACCAAAATATGAATTCCACCTCCCTCCCTCCAATTCCTTCCCACCAAATGAGGCATTAAGAAACCCCTAATGTGCAGCTCAATTTTAGTTGAGAGTTAATTCCTCTCAAGATAAGTAACTAACAAGTCACAAACCCAGATCGCCAATCACCAAAAAGTCATTGAGGCAATTGCACAAACACCTTACAAACAATCTTATAACAAGCACAAGCAATTGAAAAAGAAGAATTCAATTTCATCACATAACTATCGAGTGAATCACAATCAAAATGAGTTTAAAAATCTTGAATCACAAATGGCTCAATTGTAGCAACTCTTTCTCAGTTACAATTACAAACTCACACCGGAATTCAGATAACTACAACTAGAGAAGACGAGATCAAGAGTAGAGAAAACAACTCCCCTATGAAGAACATAGGTCAAGCATAGTCACACCACTCCGAGGGTTTAATGGTTCAGCCACGCATCACGGATTCTTCAGCTCCAACAAGCTTCTTCAAACACGCCATGGCTGATCCAAGAGAAGAATTCCAACTGCAGTGATGGTGAGGGAGAAGGATGGTGTGTGAGTTGAGTGGAGAAGGAGAATAATGATCGGTGTAGAATTGGAAGTAGATGGAAAATTGATGGACAAATGATGCGGCTGGATGGAAGAGGTGAAGAACACGGTTGGGAGAATATGAGAGTTAAAAGAAAACGAAGGGGCGTGGCTGAATGACCATATGTTATATCCCGATCTTTTTTCTCTTTCTGGCCTGAATATCCCGATCTGAATTTGGGAGTTAATTAATTAATAGAAGTTAAGAGCGTGTTTGGGATTTGCAATTGAGATAGGTCACCCAAGGATTGAGATTAGATCTCAACCTAAACCTCCAACCAAGGCCACTTGCTAAATAAGTCTCCTTTCCCTGTTTTTCCTCATGGATAAAATACACAAACCACTCTTCTATTTTATTTAAATCACATAATTCTTTTATTATGAAAACATATATGAATCTTCATTGAAATTAAAAGATGTAAGGTGCACACACCCTCTTTATATATTTACAACTTTATTTCCATTCATTCAATAGTAAGTTTAACTCTTAAACTTTTATTTTGATCAAAATACCCCTTTAATATAAAAATTATTTAAACATTTATACCTGTTAAAAAATAATTTTTATACATCAGAAAAATAATTTTCTTACATATATTATCAAATATGTTAATATGTTATAAAATTTCTTAATTTTGACTATGTTATAAAGTTTTATCATTTTAATTTTTCATCACTTATTTATTTACATTTTTTTAAATAACTGACAAAAATATTACTCCGGCTAAAAAAATATTTATTTAAATTTTTTCTTTTTTATGTATCTTCGTTTTATGCTTTAATTAATACAGTTTTCCTTTATTATACACACACATATATTTTCTTATATTTATTTTTATATTTTTAATTTTCCTCACCTTTTTGTTTCAAATTCATATTGACTTCAGATTTTACCCGATTTTTCTCTTTAGTTTCGGTTCTCTCCTTTACCCGACATGTGTGTGTGTGTGTACGTATGTGATTTTCACTTCTTCCCTGTCATATACTTCACTTTTTGGCTTGTTAATTGATTGATGATTCAATGATATTTTTGCGTTTCCAGATTGTGTCTCAACAAATCCCAACAAAACACTTTTAATCATATAATTAATTATAATAGCACCCCCTTTATTATTCGCCGCGCTAGCTCTTTTCTGCTTCTGCTTTCTGTAATTTCTGTGCTCTTCCTCTGTTTTTGCCTTCATTTCTCTCTTCAGTCACTAAAACCTTTTGATGTTTTTGTGTTCTTCCCCCAAAAAGAAAAAAAAAAAGATTTAGAGTTTTGTCTTCTGTTTCAAAGTTTATCCACTGAAGTTTCTGTTATTAATCTTCTTCGACGATCTTCTTGTTTAAAAAAAAAAAACAAAGAAGTAGAAGAAGAAAACCAAAGAAAATTGTGGGCTCTTCTTTTCAGTTCTCTCTTTTTATTGTTTTCTTAAAAGTAAAAAATGTGTTCTACTTGAATCATATTCCTGTTTTAATTTTTCTCTCCGGTCACTATAGTTTCTGCTGTTCTTCTGCTTCTGGTTTTTTTTAACCCAAAAAAAAAAAAAAAACTGGCCGTGGATATTTATACATCAATCGTTGCTGTTTTTCTTTTCTTCATTTATTGTTAAAAAGGGGGGAAAAGAGGGATATCCAATTCCATCAAAAGCACCGTGCAAGCGGAGAGGCGCTGAAACCTGAGGATATATAAGAGGCAAGTATTTGTACTCTCCACTTTGAAATTTGGACATGATTATATCCAATTTTCATGTGATTATTTTTATTTTAGCTGTTTATGCCATTACAACGTAGGTTACTTCCTTAATTTTTCTCAACATTTCAATCAATATGTTGTTTTTTTTATTAGAGTCAAAGCAAGAGGAAAAAAAGAAGAGCCCTCTCCGATCAAAGGGCTAGAAATACCTGGACAAGAGGTAGGTCTACAATTTCATAACAGTGATATTATGAGCTCTCCAACCAGTGTGTCTTGCTCAATACTTAGTATAAGAGCTAAACAATTGATTTATGAGTATTAAAAATTAGTTAAGTTAATTATTTATAATACTGCTTCCGGTCCTAATTATAAGGCCTCATTTATAGTCTATAAACGAGGTCTTATAATTAAGACTGGATATAGTATATTTATTAATTATGTGCCAATTCTTGTAATTACCATAGAAATTATTTGGGGGCAAAATAAATAAATATAAGAGACAATGTGAATTGAAATTTTATATTTAGGACCAAATTAAATTTCTAACTAACTCTTATATTAAGAATTGAAGGTAATACATTAGTAATGAAATTTAATGGCCAAATTTTATTCTATCGCTAATTTTATGATTAAAATTATTGATAAGATTATTCTGTTACAAACAATCCATCCATAATTTATCACTAATTCCGTCACAAAATATTTAGTAACGGAAATTAGTGATATGTAAAAGTTCATTGCTAACTTTAAAAATGACCAATTCCTATTTTGTAGCTAATTTATTGAAGTAACATTTACATCACTATTCCATCTCTGAGTGTTATCGCTAAAATGCTTGTCATGAAATAAAAATATCCCCTTACCAATTTCATGACTATCTATCCTTCGTCGAATGGAATCCCCTCCCTCCATCTTACACCTTCCTTCCCTCGATCTAGTTATGGTGACAACTAAGCGAGGAGGGGAGAAAAAAATAGAAAAAGAAAAACTCTTGTTGTGATCAAGGAAAATCACTGCTAAAATGCATTAACTATCCCTCTGTTTAATGTAGATTATAGAAACTTCTCTTTTATTTTTTTTTTAAAATTGTACATAAGTATCCCTTGAAATTATTTCAAAATATACGTTACACAATTCTCTTTTATATATATTTGAAATTCTATTTATATATATATTTGAACGTTAGTTAACTATTAAATTTTGCTCTTAAAATTTTCTTTTGACGAAAAATATCCCTTTTTAATAAAAAAATTATTTAAACATTTATATGGGTAAAAATAATAATTTCTTATACATAAAAAATAATTTTAATACACATATTTTCAAACTCTCAAATATGGTATAAAATTAATTAAATTTGATTATATTTTAAAAGTTTATAATTTTAATTTTTCATCAAACTTATTGAAACTTATTTATTTATCTTTCTTTCAAATGGTTAAAAATGTTTCAAACACATATTTGTTCATCATATAGTACAAATGATATAAGTTCAAGAAATTACATAAATCATTTAAATTTATAATTGAACAATTTTAAATAAATTTTTTGTTACAAGCATTTATAAATTACATAAATTTATTTAAAAATTTAAAATAAAATTCAGGAAAATCAAATTATTTGCAATGACATTTTATAGTTGCGGCTTATGATGGGACCAAGCAGATTTATGGTTTTTGAGTTCTCCAATTTTTGATTTGTGGTCTTTAACAATAAGCTCTGATATTGCTAAATTAATAAATTTATTAACTAAGGTAAATGTTTATATTACTAGTTATTTCAATTTAAACATTCTATAAACTCACAAAAGAAACACATAAATATATATATATATATATATTATATTCTTCACCAAGCTACTTTCTCCTCAACATCTTCCGATGGTGTCCTTTTATGGGTGGAGATAGGTTTTTTAGTTGAGTTGGAGGAAAGGGGAGGTTTGGTGATTATCGAGTAAGTAAATACGAATCGCTTCCCAGGGCATTGACATAGAGGATTCGAATGGTTTTTTCAAGTATGGAATAGATAGTGCCATTTCTAAAGAGGCTTCTACATAGTCTCCTCCATCGTCTTTGGTTCTGCGTTTTTCTTCCATTTACACATTACTGTTGATGGCCTTCCATTTCTCTCCTCGTCCCATAATAAGGTTGGTTCATTCTCCATGCTCCTGGTTAGGAAAGGTGGTTCTCGTGGTTCCTAGTCCTTATTTCTAGTAGGTTCTAAAGGCTTCTCAGAAGGTACGAGCTCCGCATGTCTCTGTGTTGGGCTGTTGGGCTTTGATAATCAATGGGCCTTTTCTTTTGGTTTCCCCCCCCCCCTTACAGCAACTTATCACCCCAACTAACATTTTATTAG